CTAAAGAAAAATAAATTGTCAGGATATAAAATCCATAAATGCAATTTAGAAATAAAAAAGAAATGAGAAAAGATTTTTAAATATAAAACCTGAAGATCACTGGAGTTACACTCAAGACCCTTTTTTTGATTTAACCCTTTATAGAGCACTCAGTGAAATAGTTTGAAAATCCAGCTGATAGTGTTATTGGAATCCAGGAAAAGATCTTATTACCTTTGTAACATTAAAAAAATATGGATATTTTGATTGCAAAAATTAATGTCAATGTAATAACAAGAAATGACAACTTGCCCGAATATATTAAGAAAAATATCTCGTACCGTGTCTTTTGGTTGTGCTGTTCTTTTTTCATCTCGTTGCAGGTGATGAAGCAGACTAAAAATGTTTTGTCATTGTCTCCTTTCTATCTCTTCTTTCTTTCATCTTTTCTCTTTTTTCTTCTTCTTCTGTTTTTCTGCTCTACTTACATTGCAGTGTCCATATAAACTGTAAAACTCCCTGCATAATTATAATAAAGCAATTTATATGCATGAAACAAGTGGAGCAATATATGGCAATTGCCATACTGCTCCACCTGTGAAAGCAGAATCTGTTGGGCTCTTTTTGGCATCAAGACAATTATTCTTATTGCCACATTGCCAGACAGGACACTGTAAAAAAAAAAAAAAAAGAAGAAGAAAAGAAAAGAAAAATAACAAAAGTGCTTCTAGAAGAAATTAATGAAAAACACATTTTTTTTAGTCCACTAATCATAAAGGCATTAATGCTGATATAAACCTAAATATACAGTAATTGTTCCCTAGGCTTATTAACTTTATTTTTTAACATCAATTAGCTTTTTACCTTCTTTTCTAGACTTGTTAACTTTTCCCAACTTAATTTCCAGTAGGTAATATATCATTGAAGGGCTCATCTAACTGGTCAAATGCCAAAATAAGATGCCCAGCCATGTAGCTGTATCTTTACTGAATGGCTGGATGTAGATCTTTTGCTTTTAGACCTCACTGAGGGAGGGGGGACTATTTGTAAGGGGTTTGCAAGTGATTAAAAACTGTAACTTGCCCTATAAAGGGATAAGAAGCTTCTTTTACGGTTTTATTTCTGGGTTGCATTTTCTTTGTAATTTCCAACATGCGAAAACTTTTGTTTTCCTTTTGTAGCACTGTTGACTTAGAAGAATGCAAGTCCATTCCTAACCTGGGGACTGTCGGCGTGGGGTTTGTATGTTCTCTGCAGGCATAGGTAGGTTGTCCCCAGGTATTCTGGCTTCCTTCAACATACCAAAAACATGACTGAGTGTGTGGTTATGTGTCTTTGTGGTCCCTGTTATGGACTGGATACCTGTCCAGGGTGAACCCCGCCTTTCACCCATAGCCTGCTGGAGATAGACACAGGCCCCACTGTGACCCTGATGGATTTGTTGGATAGGATTGAGAATCTTTGCTTGCAACAATAATGGAACATAATTCACTCCATACACTTTAACCATCAGTGAAAACCGCATCAGATTACTGAGTAACGGCCTCTAGAAGTCAACTAAGCTGCTTCTGCTCAAGGCTTAGGAAGTCAGTCTCTCCCTTAATGAGCCTCTTTTTCCAAAAGCTCCTCAGTGTGCATTGGTCCCTGCCTAACCACCTCTATGAATGATTTCTGGACCCGCCTCGGCTCCAGCACCCCCCCACTTATGGATCATTCACTGTTATCATCATGGACATGTCCAACTATCTCAGTTTACACTCTCTTCTCTCCATTTCTTTGCTGTTAGTTTTCTCTGTCATCCTCAGGGCAGAACTTCAGCCGCAGCTGCAGGAGCTTATTTTAGGAGCAACTCTACCCATAGGAAACATCCATGCCTTGAGTTCTTCACATGTTTTTGCTGACATTCTGTGACTCTGATGTATGACGGCGTGCAGATATAGAAATAGATTGACTCTTTATAGTAGCTTCGGTAGCTAATGAAGCTAAAGCTACAACAACTTGAAGGAATTTTGCATTAAAGTTTAATCAAAGCTTAATAAAATCACGCTTGTCTGAAGTCCTCAGGAACAAGTTCTTAAACTTCTGGGCTTATCTCCTCGTCAACATAGCTGTCTTTATATTAGCTCCTTAGCAGAGATATGTAGACGTCTTTTATAAGTTCAGGAGGTGATTTTAGCTTTTTGAATCCAATAAAGCGATGCTGGAAACTGGATGGAGGAGGAAAACACTATGCTGCTCTAAAAGTTTCCAAAAGCAGCAAAAGAAGTTTAGCTTCTTCACGGTTTCTTAGCAGCAGTTAGCTTAGTACTAGTGAACATATACAGTAACATCTATGTACGGAGCAGCGGTGGCATAAGTATGCACTTTTATTACTTAAGTAGAAGTATAGATACTACAGTTTAAAAACACTCTGGTAAAAGTTGAAGTATCAACTTGACCTCTTTACTCAAGTAAAAGTGAAAAAGTATGTGCTCCAAAAACTACTTAAAGTATAAAAGTATAAAGTAACCTTTAAAAAAACAGCCAGATGCCACTATATGAATTTAAAGCTCAGTTTTTCGACTATTTCTAAAAATTCTCTGAGATAGGGCCAAGGATGAGGGAGGTCTTGTTGGTCTCCGTCTCCCGATACGCTCTCGCCTGTGTTCGACCTTTCAGACATTTCAACATCTTTTTCTGAATCCCACATTGTAGCATGGCATAGACAATTCACGTAAGCAGTTTGAAGAACACCTGCTTGCTTCTGATGATTTCCTTTAGCTAACCAATGACTGTTTGCGTTCTATGACTCATCCAATCACACTAGTTTTCACTAGATGTGGATGGCGGCAATGATCTGCATTGGATGGAGCACATGACGGGAAATAAATATTTATAAACATTAAACCGAAGCCAAGAGTAACGAGTAACGTTTGTTTTAAAAATATAAGGAATAGGAAGTAAAGATACTTGTGTGAAAATGTAATGAGTAGAAGTCAAAAATAAGTAATGGAGTAAAGCATAGATACCTAAAAAAGTTTACTTAATTAAAGTAACAAAGTATTTGTACTTTGTTACTTGACAGCTCTGGTAAGGGGAGATTTTTATTCAGCCCTATAGTAATAAGTGTCACTCCGTCCCACTGAAGAATAAAGAGCTTATTATGAAGTAAGATTTGAATTTAGTTTGGTCAGAGAAAGAAAAATCATAATTGAGTCGTTTTGTTGTTTCAAGGACTGATTTCTACTCTGTGTGACTACTGGCTACTTAATAAAACTAAAGGAAATTAACAAGTTATAATAATACTTAAGCTTGCATATCTCCAGCCTATTAATATCAAGAGAAGAAATAGTGGTGGTGGAGTATAAATTGTCATGATCTGGCCTGTTTGCTCTCCCTTATTTAGTCATTCCTTTCACCTGCCCTCTTCCTTCCCTGCCTCAATTATAATTTATTCCTCTCGCCTGTTTCCTCTTGGTTATATTCAGTTCAGCCTGAGCATTCAGGGCCAGATCATTAACTGTTTTTCTGTTAGAGGGTTTTTGTGTTTGACTCGTCTCCTGATCGTCCACTGTTCCTCCCCCGCGGAGTCCTCTGGATTTTTGGCTCATTATGTGGGGAGGTTTAGCTTTTATTCCAGTAAGCCTGGCTCCAGGGAGGAGACCAGTTTAAAGTCCTGCATCAAGTTCCGGTTCCACGTCCTGTCTCGGCTATCCTCTTCCACTGAGCCTGCCTGTCTGCACCTGATCCTGTCTGCTCCTGTGCGTGACCACCTGATCACGCTTTTGGACCCTGTCAGACTCTGAACCCTCCTGGGAGCCTGTGGATGCCTGGAAGTCTGGATCCTGCCACCTGTTTCTGTTCCTGCCTGATCTGGATCCTCTCCCTGTCTGTTCTGAATCCCTGACCAGGATTGGCTTCCAGCATGTCCTCTGGGACTGCAGCACTGGGGACATTCTAGGACTGGACTGTTAAACCAGGTAATTGGCCAACTCAGATAATCATCTTCTGTCAGATGATCGTGGTCACTTACCTGTGTTTCTCCTGCAGAGTTCTGTGATTGGGTGGTGCCCTGCTCCCCATCCTGCAGTGTCTGCGAGCCACAGCTCTGCTTTTGTTTTTGTTAATTTAATAAACCTTTTTGAATTTTCTACTGACTGTCTCTCCTTGAATACTGGGTTCATCTGTCCGCGTTTCATGACATAAATACCTTGGTGTTCACCTGGACAACAAACTAGAATGGACCGAGCAGACTGTACTTCCTCAGGAAGCTAAGATCCATTAGCGTTTGCAGCAAGAAGCTGCAGATCTTCTATTAGTCTGTTGTGGAGAGTGTGATATCATCTGCCAGGATAACAGGAACAGAATAAATGACCTACAAAAAACTCAACAAGCTGATAAAAAGATCTGTTCTAGAATCTCCTCCAGAAGCTCTGGAGATTATTTCTCAGAGAAGAATTCTTCATGAAGTGAAGAACATTATGGACAACAGTGAGCATCCTCTTTGAAGAATTGTTAAAAAACAAGTGTCTTCAGTCAGAGGCTTCTCCAGAACCGGTGCAAGACAGACCTCTACAGAAGATCCTTCCTGCCTACAGCTTTCAACACCTACGATACCTGTTTAAAATTAACTTATGAACATGTAATTTCCACTCTCTCTACTCTTTCTTCTATCATTTTGGATTGAATTGAATTGAACTGAATTACAATATCTTCTCTGACTCCAAAACTCAAATCTAATCAAAGTATTTCTCTGCTAATATCAACGATTCTGGTTCTAATTGTCATAAAAATCAATCCCATGCTCATAACTGATTAAGGGCTGCAGAACGAGCTCTGAGATGTAAACATGCGCACAGCAGAGCATCACATGAAAAAGGAGCAAGATTTCAGTTTTATCAGATAGTGGTTTGGAAAGTGCTGCAATGCCTTGGCTGCTGTTCCCATCTCTCTCTAGGTCTGTCAATTAGTGATAATGGACCCCATCGGCAGAGAGGAGACCACTCCCTCCCTCCCTCTCTGCTCTGCTTTCCCTCCCTCCCTCCCTCCCTCCCTCCCTCCTGCCTTCCTTCTTTCACACAAGCACACTTTCTCTCTCTCTGTTTGTCCTTCTTTCTAAATCCCAGTCAGTGATAATGGAGCCCGGCAGTCCAAAGAAGATCCAGTTTGCTGTGCCTCCTCTGCAGGGGCAGATTGACCCACAGGCCGCCGAACATGTGAGTTTATCTGCACAGCTTTCAGAGTTTTGAATGAGTGTGGGGGTAAGAGAAGGTTCATGCATGTAGAGGGGGCTGAATGAGTCTTCTTTATGGTCAGTCTTGTCTGGAATTTTCTGTGGGTGCAGAACTAATATGTGTGTGTTGGTTTTCATCTAGTTTTGTGTGTTTTTGTTGGAGTTGAAAATATTTCCTCCACAATATTTTTTATTTTATTGTAGCTTGTTTACTGCTTCCCTTAATAACCATAAAATCTTGAAGCATAGAAATCAGCAGAAAAGTCATGTTGCATCTGAATGAAGGCGGAAGGAAGGAACAAAAGCTGCTCTTTCATAAAGCTCTAAAACGTCGTCTTTAGGAGTTTGGTGAATGGAGGCCTGATGCCTGCAGAACCTGAACAGAGTCTAGTTTACCAGCAGTGTTGCTCTGTGAGGGTTACCTCAACATTTCCACACGTTAATAAAAGCTTTATGAGCCGCCATTTTGTCTCACCTTTAAGGAAATAACGAACATTTTACAACAGTTTATCACAACAAGTCTTGATCAGGCCCTCAGATGAGAGTAAAAAAACTTAATAAGTTCAATTCAGCTCAGTTTATTACAAAATCCTCAATTCACAACACCTCATCTCTTGGCACTTTACAGAGAAACTTCAATCAGATGTCATTGACTTTGCAGAATTTGATCCTCCTGGATGAGAATGTGGTGACAGTATTGCATTGTGATGCTCTTCAGTAATTCATCACACTGTGCATGCATAGGCAACAGCAGCTTACAGGTAAGAAAAGGTAACTGTAAACTAGCTCCAGGTCTAGAGTTAAACATACAAGCTGATTTTCATGTCAAAAGGATGAAAGAGAACACAGTAAAAGCTGAGCCCATATAGGAGAGAAACAGGACTAAGCACTGAAACACAGAGCAAACTTTATCATTTATAATCAAAGGTGTTGATGGCAGCAGCACAGCTGATATTTCTCTCCAGGATGTTGACAAAGCCGGAGAGAACGAGACCAGATAAAAATACCATGATGAGAAAAAGTAGACAGAGCATAAAATTAAAGGTTGTTGAAAAAGTATAAAGAACGACAGCTTAGAATCCTTGATATGCTGTCTCTGATCGCTAATGTTCGTTTTTTTGGAGCAAAATGTGACTTGATATCTCCCGACAGTCTCTCTTCTGTATGTTTGTTTCTAACACGAAGATATTTGACGAATGGACAGCGTTTGAAAAGATGAGTTAAACAACTTCTAATATAAACATCATAAACACAAGATTAATGAATTGAAGGTTTTTGCTTTTATTGGTTTTTATAAGGTGAGGAGAGGCAGCACTACTGTTACTCTTAGAAATCTCTTTAAAAAAAAAGGCCTGAGTTATTTTGTTTATTTATGGATTTACTTTCTAAGAACCAAATTTATCATCTGTGATCTTTCATGTGATAAAAGTTTTAATTCGTTCACTACTTTGTAGCCTGTATCAATAACAAAAAAATGGCAAAAGCTTTGATTTAAGAGGTTTGTCTGTGAGTCCTGTGAAGTTAGGCTTAGCAGCCTGGTGAGGAGAATCCATCAGAGCACTTTGAGTAACAATATGTGCTGGGTCACAGAATATGGTGTAACACCGGACCTTTTATCTGCGGGGATGGTGGGACGCTGTAGTTAACTTCACCAGATGAGCGCCAGCAGGCAAACGCTGCGACGCTGGAGGTCTGCAGGCTGCAGCTGAAACATCTTAACTGCTTCTGAGGGATGAAAACAAATCTTTTATCATTTCATAAACTGTTTGATTAGGTTGATTTGAAAAAAGGGTCTTTATGTTGCAAAAGTCCACCTGGACAGTTAATATGGCATCATAAACTAAGAAAGAAAAAACTAAAGCTGGTAGAGTAGCGGAAAACAGAAATGTTCTAGTTATTGTTATCTCAACAGGGTGGTGGTAAGCAACACACACAGTCCCCCGATGTAGGTCCTATAGAACAGGGGAACCCAAAGAGGGATCAGGACACTCTGGGGGTCATGAGATTTTTTCTTTATCTATTAATTTGTTTTTGCAATCATGTTATGTCATACCTGAGGTATATGGAGGACTAAAATATATAACAATATACACTCACCGGCCACTTTATTAGGTACACCTGTCCAACTGCTCGTTAACACTTAATTTCTAAGCAGCCAATCACATGGCGGCAACTCAGTGCATTTAGGCATGTAGACATGGTCAAGACAATCTCCTGCAGTTCAAACCGAGCATCAGTATGGGGAAGAAAGGTGATTTGAGTGACTTTGAACGTGGCATGATTGTTGGTGCCAGAAGGGCTGGTCTGAGTATTTCAGAAACTGCTGATCTACTGGGATTTTCACGCACAACCATCTCTAGGGTTTACAGAGAATGGTCCGAAAAAGAAAAAACATCCAGTGAGCGGCAGTTCTGTGGGCGGAAATGCCTTGTTGATGCCAGAGGTCAGAGGAGAATGGCCAGACTGGTTGGAGCTGATAGAAGGGCAACAGTGACTCAAATAACCACCCGTTACAACCAAGGTGGGCAGAAGAGCATCTCTGAACGCACAGTACGTGGAACTTTGAGGCAGATGGGCTACAGCAGCAGAAGACCACACCGGGCGCCACTCCTTTCAGCTAAGAACAGGAAACTGAGGCTACAATTTGTACAAGCTCATCGAAATTGGACAATAGAAGATTGGAAAAACGTTGCCTGGTCTGATGAGTCTCGATTTCTGCTGCGACGTTCGGATGGTAGGGTCAGAATTTGGCGTCTACAACATGAAAGCATGGATCCATCCTGCCTTGTATCAACGGTTCAGGCTGGTGGTGGTGGTGTCATGGTGTAGGGAATATTTTCTTGGCACTCTTTGGGCCCCTTGGTACCAATTGAGCATCGTTGCAATGCCACAGCCTACCTGAGTATTGTTGCTGACCATGTCCATCCCTTTATGACCACAATGTACCCAACTTCTGATGGCTACTTTCAGCAGGATAATGCGCCATGTCATAAAGCTGGAATCATCTCAGACTGGTTTCTTGAACATGACAATGAGTTCACTGTACTCAAATGGCCTCCACAGTCACCAGATCTCAATCCAATAGAGCATCTTTGGGATGTGGTGGAACGGGAGATTCGCATCATGGATGTGCAGCCGACAAATCTGCGGCAACTGTGTGATGCCATCATGTCAATATGGACCAAACTCCCTGAGGAATGCTTCCAGCACCTTGTTGAATCTATGCCACCAAGAATTGAGGCAGTTCTGAAGGCAAAAGGGGGTCCAACCCGTTACTAGCATGGGGTACCTTATAAAGTGGCCGGTGAGTGTACATGAAACACATAGATATGAATGTCAACTGTGTCAGGAGAGATTTATTTATTAGCAGATTTAAACAACATACCATTAAATTGTAAAATACACAATTAATTCAAAATAGAGTTAAAATGATTTTCTAAATAATTCAATGGCAATAAAAAATATATATATACATTTTTATGAATATAATAACTTCATTTTATAGGCATAAATAGATATAAAGTAAATAAAATATATGCTTCAATAGATAATTATGAAATAGAAATCACTTTTAAAAGATATATGAAACAATTAGATGAAATAATTAAATGTTATTAAAAATCCAATTCTCAAAAAACAAACAAAAATTTAATTCAAATCAATTCAAAAGTACTTTATTAATCTATGTGGGAAATTAAATCATTAAACCAATTAGATGTTATTAAAAACATTAAAATTGATTAGAGTTAGTTGACTTTTGTGTATAAATAGATATGGAGTGAAGTAACTGAATGTTGTAAATTAATTGTGTAGGCGTTAAAATGTTGAGGATCTTTTTGGGCACTGAAAAAGGGAAGAGGAGCCTCCAAGCATTGGATCTGGAATACATTTTACATTTAATTGACTACATTTCTTTTTATAATTCCCTAAATCTGTCTGTTCACCTCAGATCCGTCGAAGAAGGCCGACCCCCGCCACCCTGCAGATCTACAGACAACCTGGGACAGGTGAGGAAACGCAGAGAGCAGATTGTGAGAGGCATGGAGATAGATGAAAAGCATAGCAGCAGCTGCAATAATGGATGCTTTATTAGATCACTGGTTGTAAAGTGATCTGAGCATCCAGTGTGTTGCTCTCAGCTCCTGCACATCCCTCCACAGAGGAGCTGACTGATTCAATAATGAGGCTTATTTCACTCAGAGTCGGGTTCCAGCACTGCTGTGTTCAATTCCGCTGCAAGTTTGATCATTTCTACTACAAAAGAAAACAATATCATCTACAAATTGGAGAGAGCTGAAGTGTTTTTGCTCCTTTTTATTGCAATGATCTGGCTTCCTTCAGTCCCCCCGTCTGCTAGCAGCTGAGAAACAAGGTGAAGAACTCATTGCAGCTGTTATTTTAATATTTTTTTGCTAAGACAGCAGCTAAAATGGATTCAAATTATTTGTTTTCGAAAGTATCAAATTAAATTCTCTTGTTAAATTGTTAAAGCAAAGAAAAAAAAACAACAAAGGAATTCCATTATGAGGGTTTGGTTAGAAATAGTAGGTAAAATCCTCCACTAAATTTGATATTAATTGCTTTTAGAAACAAAAAAAAAACAGGAAGTGCACAAAAACAATCTGACTCCAGTTTATGTTTCTTTTAAACACCAACAAATGTGGCTTTTCTATATTTTACTCACCGCCTGTTTCAATGTTACAAACACATACTTTACTGATCCACAGTTGGGTGCCTGTATTTCTAAAAAATGTCTCTATTATCCCATAAAAAGCTAACAAGGCAAAAAATTATTTCTCAAATTGTTTAAACCAGGGTCTTCAACATTTCTCAGTTTGTATAACATTTGTTATATAACAAAGGAAATCCAAAAGGTAAATATTTACAATATTTACTTTACCAAAAATACCAAAATCAAATTGGTTAATGAATTAAATAGGTGCTATAAAGGCATCAAGCCTGTTAGTGTCTGAGAGCCTGAATATTTTACCCCAGCACCAGCAGTAATGAGCCGATGTGGCGCCATCTACTGGCAGTACTGCTGAAATACCAGAAAACCAGCTGATTGCAGTGATGCAGCTACTAAAGAAGTTCTGATTGTGCTATAATGCCTCATGGAAAACTGGGAGGATAAGGCTCACTAACAGCAGTAGCACTATTAGCCAGAACATGTTTGTCAACTATGCTCACTCACTTTGCTTCCTGAGCTTTAGCTTTAGGGAACTCAATTCAATTTTAATTCAGTTTATTTCTATAGCTTCAATTCACAACACGTCATCTCAAGACACTTTACAGTTCAACCAGATCATACAGTCAGATTAGTTCAAAGTTTTCTAAGGAAAACCAGCTGATTGCATCGACTAACTGACTTGAATGCAATCCCTTATACTAAGCATGCTTGTAGCGACAGTGGAGAGGAAAAACTCCCTTTCAACAGGAAGAAACCTCCAGCAGAACCAGGCTCAGTGTGAGCGGCCATCTGCTGAGGCCGACTGGGGTTCAAGAAGACAGAAGCAGAGATAAACCCCTTTCACAATGGCCCAAAACCCCAATGAAACATTTTAGGTTTAATTGGGGTTTTCTGCTGGTGGTGTTCCCCTGCCCAAAGTTCTTGTTTCTCCGCACCTTCCATACTGCTGAGTTTTTTCTATAATGTGGCATTTTGAAACAACTTTTTCCAAGAAAAGCGAACAAAAAATATATCGTAAATATTGCAGGGCATGTGTTCTGATAGCTTAGTGACAAAACTAGGGGGTATTTCGTAATTCAGATATCAAATTATATAGTTTTGACTCGTCAAAATTAACTTTGAGATATATTGATTATGATTCCAGATGAGTGAAACTTTAAATGATAAATCCATGATGCCATTTGAGATATCTTAAAAGGCATTTTGACTCTCCAGAATGTGATTGATATCATGAATTGTTTTTTTCCACTAGTCATAATATAATTTCAGATAGAAGAGCAAATTCTTCAGATTTAAGTGACTCTGTGTTTATAAACCGATTTACACATTTGTAGATTTTAGTACGCATTTGCAAATCCTAACACACATTTGTAGATTTGAATACAGATTTGTGGATTTTTTTACACATTTGCAAATCGATTACACACAAGTTATTTTACACATTTGCAGATACCTGTACAGACAGACAAATCAAATCCCGCTGCATTCACACAAATCTACATACAGACACACACATTCTCCACACACATTTGTAAATAACTTTGCAACAATATTGCTCCCATATAAAAATGCATAGGTGTATGTAAATATCTGACCTTGTTGAAAGCAATAAAACAAAATAAGAAACATTTCTTGCAAGAAATAATGTTAACATTATTTCACATCCTTGGACGAAGAGAGAGTTCTCTGACTGAAGCATTTCAGTACATACATTTATACTTTACAAAATCCAGTAGTGCCAAAGGTTCACATATTTGTTACTTAAGTAGAAGTATAGATACTGCAGTTTAAAAACACTCTGGTAAAAGTTGAAGTATCAACTTGACCTGTAAGTATGTGCTCCAAAAACTACTTAAAGTATAAAAGTATAAAGTAACCTTTAAAATAAGCAGCCAGATGCCACTATATGAACCGAAATCTAAATTTTTCAACTATTTCTAAAAATTCTCTGAGATAGGGCCAAGGATGAGGGAGAACTTGTTGGTCTCCATCTCCCGATATGCTCTCGCCTGTGTCCGACCTTTCAGACATTTCAGCATCTTTTTCTGAATCCATCATTGTAGCATGGCATAGACAATTCACGTTAGCAGTTTGAAGAACACCTGCTTGCTTCTGATGATTTCCTTTAGCTAACCAATGAGTGTTTGCGTTCTATGACTCATCCAATTACACTAGTTTTCACTAGATGTGGGTGGAGCCAATGATCTGCATTGGAACGAGCACATGACGGGAAATAAATATTTAGAAACATTAAACCAAAGCCCAGAGTAACGAGTAACATTTTTAAAAAAATGTAAGGAATAGAAAGTACAGATACTTGTGTGAAAATGTAATGAGTAGAATTCAGAAGTAGGAAGAAAAATAAGTAATGGAGTAAAGTATAGATACCTAAAAAGTGTACTTAAGTACAGTTAGAAAGTATTTGTACTCCTCCCAGGGGAACAAAGCCACCCAATACATAAAGATCTTTCTCAAACTTGAACATTTGGAGGGAAACAGCTTTCATCACAGTTCATCAAGTCTATTCCCTGTTAGGTTGATATGTCTTCCACTGGCCAGATAAACATTTCACAACAACTGTCTTCTGTTCACGGCATGAATGAGGCTGTGTGAACTTATTTATCTCTCATGATCTTCCATTCAACCTTGTCTAGAGAAGGAAGGCATCTGCTTTCTGTCCCCCCGACCTTTAACATTACAGCATAGATGCTGCTACAAGACTTCTCTGAACACACTCCTGAACTATATATATATATATATCCAGATACAAAGCTGTGTATATATATATATATATTTATATATATACACGGATATGTAAATACTTTTTAACTGTTCTTGCCAAGTTATTCCCATATTTTCAATTGGGTTTGGGGTTTATTACATTTAACCCATGATCATCATTGTTTTATTATATTCTATACTTCTCATACTAAGGAGTGAACTCACCGTTCCTCCCCCTACAAGTCATTATATGTGATCAAATAAGCTTCGCTATATGACTCAAGCCACTTCAAGCATTCAGCATAAATTAACCTTATGAGGTATCAAACTATCTAAGGTTATTGTTATAAAATCCGGGCTGTTTCCATTATTATTCAGCATGTCAGCCTACTCACACTACAGACTCTTTTCAAAGGTTGTTTAACAGCTTGTAATAGAAGATAGAATCAACACTACTGCAGGACAAGACGGATTAATCCTGAAAACCATACAGTCAAAATTAATAATGCGTTTCCTGCTCATAACATTTATAAGATAATAATAAAAAAGTAAATAGAAAAGGCTACAAATGGATTGCATGAAAGAAATAACTTCACAGAAAAATGAAACTGTAAGAAGCACAATGAGCTAAAAAGAACACATGTGTAAAAATGATATGAGAATGACCACAATACACCAAAAATGTTAAATATATACCTTGGGATGTAAAACTACAGGAGATTTGCATAACATCTTAATTTATTCAAGGACCAGTTTTTAGGAAAACTTCTTCCTCTACTGTGATCTTAAAGGATGTTATCTAGATGAGACATGAACTGTGTGGTCTAAAGTCACATGGAGGAGAAAATAACATAGCTGGAGGGACAGAAAGGTTTAGGTTCTGTGTGCTTTAAAAAGCAGATCAGTGATAAGATGTAATGTTTTAATGTTTAGTTTGAATGTAAAGCAATCACTCATTATTTCATCTCTCTCACAGATGTTGGAGACCAACAGCATGCCATTGGAGAGCCACAGGTTTGGAAAACTGTTTGCAACGACACACAGAATCAGAGAGATGATATGAGAAAAGCTAAAGGTGCAGAAAGTATTCTCTATTAAAACTGGAGGGTAGTCTGCAGTGTCCACATGTCTGACTTCCTGCTGCTCAATTTGCCCAGGGCCCCGAGCTAAAGCCCCCCCACACAATGGCTGACCTGGTTATTAACTGCATCTATTGACTAACAGGCTGAGCACAAATGTTTCCTAAAAGCTGCACGCTCAAACAATTCAAACTATATATATATATATATATATATATATATATATATATATATATATATATATATATATATACACATTATCACCAATATTTTACCAGAACTGATGCTGACACAGTTAATCTTTGTCAGTCATTTGTTCAGAATAAGTATTTTGAATTCTGAAGACTGATTTTAAATTTGTATATTGAAAGAAATTGTCAAAACTACAGTAAGTAATTTATATTTGTGATAATATGAATGTAATGATATAATTTTATCCAATGCCTTAAAGGAATAGTGAACCCTAAACATGATTAGCCTTCATTTTCTACTCACCCCCATGCTGAACAACACTCTGGAGTACTTTTTTGATATCTCAAATGCATCTGGAGATCTGGGAGGCTTCTTGCTGTCTGCTGACATTCAAATAATGGAGGTCTATGGCGCCCGAGACAGAAAGGTCCATAAAAGTCCACAAAAAACGTGTCAATATTCCTCCATACTGCTCGTCCAATGTATTCCAAGTGTCCTGAGTGGGTAGCATCCAGAATTTACTCGAAACGAAGTCATTTAGAATGTTTTTAGAGCATAAACAGTAGTGTATAGGATTTCCTGAAAGCGCGCACCTGCGCGTTCATGACGCTACGGAAGCCGGCAGACCAAACCAGATGAAAGTGCGCATTCAGCGTCTGCTCTGCCGATAATGCAAGCGTAGAAGAAGAAATGTGCTGTTTACCTGTGCAAAGAAAGAAACAACGAAAGAAAAATGTCTGAGGACTTCAGTGTTGAGGAAGAGCATGAGTTCTTTGCCGAGCTGAATGCGCACTTTCATCTGGCTTGGTCTGCCGCGGTTTCCGTAGACTCGTGAACGCGCTTTTAGGAAATCCTATACACTACTGTTTATGCTCTAAAAACATTCTAAATGACTTCGTTTCGAGTAAATTCTGGATGCTACCCACTCAGGACACTTGGAATACATTGGAAGAGCAGTATGGAGGAATATTGACACGTTTTTTGTGGACTTTTATGGACCTTTCTGCCTCGGGCACCATAGACCTCCATTATTTGAATGTCAGCAGACAGCAAGAAGCCTCCCAGATCTCCAGATGCATTTGAGATATCAAAAAAGTACTCCAGAGTGTTGTTCAGCATGGGGGTGAGTAGAAAATGAAGGCTAATCATGTTTTGGGTGTACTATTCCTTTAAAGACTGATAACAGAGAGATCTAAATGGTTTTATTTTGGCAATCATTGATCATGGCGTTGAAATGAGTAAAGATGGTTCAGTTTGTTCAACTTTTTCTAATATGTCTAAAGGAAGACTTATTAAATAACATTATATTACTGAGATTTTAATGTGCTTTTTGTGTTGGATAATTATATTATAGCTGTTTAGTCTTAGTTATAAGTTTAAATTCCTTCTTTACAAAAACTCATTTAGAAAAACTCATTTACTTTAGAGTTATGTTTTGCAGGCTTCAGATGCTGCCCAGAGGAAGCAGAGCACCTATGCCCCCCCCTCAATAAAAGGTAAACAGCTTCTACTTGTTTCTGTAAAATGATCCAAGTATGTTTGATCACTAACAGAGAAAACGAGAAGATCTTAGGTTTAAAATGGAGTGCAGAAGCACAACATAGAAGAGAAGTTGCATGGCAGGAGGTGAGGGTGCGTTCTAGTGCGTCCTCATGTGTCCTCGCTGTCTTTTTCAAATCCAGCTGAACAGTTTTCTCCTCAGCAGGTAATGTCTGAGGGTTGCAGCTGTGCATGTGGGGTTCTCCATCCTTTTTAAGTCTGGTTTTGTTGAACGTTTTGTTTCTTTTCTTTGACATTCCATTATTTATTTATTTTTTCAGTTGTTTTCATAGTTTTGTTTTTTTCAGGCCGGGTCTGGCCTTTTTATTTTCTCTTTTTAGCCTTTGATCTTGTTTTTTAGCGGGATCCAGCGGGAGGTGAGATGCTCGGCTGGAAGTTATATCTGTAATCAGACCAACGTTAGGCTGAGACCCAATTAACCCACACTTTGTCTGTTTAAAGGGTATGGAGTGCATTTTGTTTCAGTACTGCTGCTAGAAAAAATAAATAAAGAAATAAAACTTTGAAACACTTCTTAATAAAAAAAAGTTTTTCTTATTAGGTCTACTTTGCTTTTTTTTTTATCAGATTTTCTTCCAAATTTTTTCAAATATCATTTTTCAAACTTCATTTAAGAAAGAATAAAAATAAAAATTGATAATATTACATTTATTAATGTCATGATCTGGCCTGTTTGCTGCAGAGATGGGAAGTAACGAAGTACAAATACTTTGTTACTGTACTCAAGTAGATTTTTCTGATATTTTTACTTTACTTTACTACTTATTTTTATGGCGACTTTTTACTTCTACTCCTTATATTTTTACACAAATATCTGTACTTTCTACTCCTTACATTTTAAAAATTGGCTCGTTACTTTAGTTTTGAATCATTTCAATGGAGTTACCGTTATTATTTTTCACGTCATCAATACCAAATTCAATCTAATTGGATGGGAATCTACGTTGCATTTGACGCACCACTACAAGATGAATCGACAGACTCGGCGGTATTCATTTGCGGCAAATCATTGCAGCTTGGTGGCGGTGGCGTTAGCATAGTAGCATGGACGACGAGATGATTGAAAATGAACACAACGGAGATCTAGTCCTATTGGCAGACATCCATTTAAAATGTAGGCAACGGCATGAAAAAAGTGGTTTCTACTTTTACTTTTATACTTTAAGTAAATTTACAAGCCTGTACTTTGTTACTTTTACTTGAGTAAAGAAGTTTAATCAGTACTTCCACTTTTACCAGAGTATTTTTTAACACAAGTATCTGTACTTTTACTCAAGTACGGAAAGTGAGTACTTTTGCCATCTCTGGTTTGCTGCCCCTTAATTGGTTATTTCTCTCACCTGTCGTTTTCCCTCCCTACCTCAATTATAATTTATTCCTCTCACCTGTTTCCTCTGGTTTATATTCAGTTCAGCCTGAGCATTCAGGACTAGATCATTGCTTGTCTTTCTGTTAGTCTGTCTGTTTAGTTTTTGTGTTGGTTCATGTCCTGGATCCTAGCAGCCAGTGGAAAGAGGGTTTTGTGTTTGTCTCGTCTCCTGCCTGTCCACTGTTCCTCCCCCGCTGAGTCCTCTGGGTTTTTGGCTCTATATGCGGGGAGGTTGAGTTTTTATTTCAGTAAGCCTGGCTCCAGGAGGAGACCAGTTTAAAGGTCCTGCATCAAGTTCTGGTCCTACGTCCTGTCTCGGCTACCCTCTTCCACTGAGCCTGCCTGTCTGCACCTGATCCTGTCTGCTCCTGTGCGTGACCTACTGGTCATGCTTCTGGTCCCAGTAAGACTCTGAACCCTCCTGGGAGCCTGTTGATGCCTGGAAGTCTGGATCCTGCCTCCTGTTTCTGTTCCTGCCTGATCTGGATCCTGTCCCTGTCTGTCACTGGCTGCCAGGATCCAGGACATGAACCAAGGAAAAAACTAAACAGACAGACTAAAAGAAAGACAGTTAATGATCTGGCCCTGAATGCTCAGGCTGAACTGAATATAAACCAGAGGGAACAGGTGAGAGGAATAAATTATAATTGAGGCAGGGAGGAAAAACGACAGGTGAGAGAAATAACCAATTAAGGAGGAGCAAACAGGCCAGATCATGAGAATTAAAAAAGGGAAAAAAATAAAAGTATAATATTTGGAATATAAATATTACAAAATAAGTTGGAAAAATAAAATTGGTAAATTTACTTTTTTTTCTGTTTAAAGAAAGGTTCGTTTTTGGATTGCATTTTTCTTTTTAATGCTTATTTCCAAAACATGTTTTAGCAACAATAATGGAACAGAACTCACTCCATATCACATATCAATTATTTTATAAGCTAAACTTGCTTTGCTCCACTATTCTATTCATGGCCTATCTGCTCTGATTTTTGGTCCCTTTGCTTCTCTAACAAACCTTTAAGGCCTTCGCCGAACAGCAGCATTAATACTGAGCATACATCACACTCAGCTAGATTCTGATTACTTTAAGAATGACTTCTGAAAGTTATTGCTGGCAATGGATTTTATTTGAGTGAATCAGCATAGAAAGCCGAGAACAAATGCTTTCATTCTCCAAAAGGAGAAAAAAGACTAGAAGCTCTAATGCAGTAAAAAAATGGTCCAACAAATGATTCTTGGAAGGTCCTTTACAGTTCTACGTCTCAATCATGACACACTCTATGCTGGTTTATTACAGAACGGAAAGGAGTGAATGGTCTGAATACCTTTGCATGCAGAGTAACTATTGGACGTGATGAAAATATAAGTGTTGTCACATTTTGTATGGCTTCACTCCATCTGAAAGCAACTAACCAATGCATAGAGCACCTGTATGATGGCTTTCAGCCCTGAATAATTGATCAAATCATGCAGCAAAGCAGAACCACTTCCTGCTGCTAAGCTAGAACGTTTAACAAACAAAAAAGAGCTTCATGTTTCCATGATACTTGGAGTTTGGATAACTGCATGTAGGAAGTGTTATGTGTTCAACAAAAGATAAATACATTTGTAAAAAAAGGCAGAGGAAAGAACATGTGTAAAACACAAATGCACACAGAGAGCGCTGACTTGATTCTGGGAAGAGGCAGAATGGAGGAGGTTTTCTTTAATCGATCCGGCTGGGTGGGTGTGAGCATGCGAATTCACTAAAAGCCTCCTGGGTAACTGCCAATGCTCCAAACGCACCAACAGAGCTCAGGATCTGTAGGTTAGGAGCAACACCTTCCTGTTCTCTAAGAGCATCAGTGATACCAGTACATTGTACTGCTTTGTTTTATATCACATCACTTCACAACACAGCATCTCAAGTATAAAAATACTGTCAGATCATCCAGTAGGTTGGTTCAAAGTTTCCTATCTCAAGAAAACCAGCTGATTGCATCCAGTCTTTGGGTTTGCAACAGTCACTCCTCCAGGATGAGCAGGTAGAGACAGTAGATATTTGCCTGCATTTGACTCAAAAGCAATCCCCCCAACGAGCAAGCTAGCCTGGGTGCCATTCCGTACTTAGTCCCGCCCACAACGTTTGAGGTCAGGAAGTTCGGTCTGGCATTGCTCAACAGTAGCGCGAGTATGCTAGCACAATATCTGGCAGGCCAATCAAATTGTCAGGGCGGGCTTTATACGATGATGGACAGATGATCAACAGTAACATAATCAACCACGTCACCAAAGCGCGCTTGGGTGACAACAACAATGGCTGCTGCTGGAGAGTTGAGGTGAGTAGATTCTGCTATTAGGTCTGTTCTAGAAGATATCGACAGCAAATTAATTTTAAAAGAGGAACAGAGAAACGCGATCAAGGCTCATCTTCTTATTCTAGGCGTGCAACTGCACGCTTTGATTTTTGTTGACAACAACTATGCGTCGCTTAACATACGTCACGCACTCCGTTGCTCTTATTGGTTGTAGGTCTATCCAATTGAGTGCAGAGGCATTTTTTCCCCTGGTTCGTTCAAAACACGCCCCAAAATCACAGCTCTATGGAGCAGTATCAGACTCAGATTCTGACTAGAATTGAGTAGGACTATGTCAGGCTGCAAGCAAGCAGCCAGCGACACAGAAAGGAATATTCCCTTAGAACAGAAAGGAACCTTTAGCAGAATCAGGCTTGGTGTGAGCGGCCATCTGCCAAAACAGATGTACATAAAGAACATAGAAGCACTGATCTCTGAATACCTGGAAAAGTATTATCTAAATCTTAGAAAAGATAACAGTAAACTAAATCTATAGGTGGCTTTGTCCAAGAGAGGAACAGTTAAGCTGAAAAACTCTGAACCGGTTTTCGTGTCAAAGGGATGAAAGAGAGCACATACAGCTAGTCACGGTACAAGCAGAGGCTATAGCTACTGTATATCTAGGACAGAAACAGGACTAAGCACTAAAAAACAGAGCCAAATCTATCATTTATGATCAAAGGTGTTGATGGCAGCAGCCCAGCTCATATTTCCCTCTAGGAATGTGTCACAGCCAAACAGGAACATGAAGGTACAATGATTAGAAAAAACAGAGAGCACCTACACTCAGCGGCCACTTTATTAGGTACCCCATGCTAGTAACGAGTTGGACCCCCTTTTGCCTTCAGAACTGCCTCAATTCTTCGTGGCATAGATTCAACAAGGTGCTGGAAGCATTCCTCAGGGAGTTTGGTCCATATTGACATGATGGCATCACACAGTTGCCGCAGATTTGTCGGCTGCACATCCATGATGCAAATCTCCCGTTCCACCACATCCCAAAGATGCTCTATTGGATTGAGATCTGGTGACTGTGGAGGCCATTTGAGTACAGTGAACTCATTGTCATGTTCAAGAAACCAGTCTGAGATGATTCCAGCTTTATGACATGGCGCATTATCCTGCTGAAAGTAGCCATCAGAAGTTGGGTACATTGTGGTCATAAAGGGATGGACATGGTCAGCAACAATACTCAGGTAGGCTGTTGCGTTGCAACGATGCTCAATTGGTA